ATGAATTTAAAGTTATATTTCATCTTTGATGAACAGTAGAGTGATGAACAAAAAAAAAGTTATTCTATACTTGGAGTAAACCTATTTTTCACTCTATTATAGAATGAGATATATAGTACCATTAGAGCAATTTTATTCTAAAACTCTATTTTAAAGTAAAAAATAGAGTGGGATTGGAGATGCCCTTAAAATAACCAAAATTTTCTTTAAAAAATTGTATTTCGTTAGTTATTCTATTTCAATTTAGTTACTTGAACCAATTTAAATTTCAATAATATAATAGTTGTTTTGCTGCAAAACAAAAAAATATATTCGATCTGATATACTAATTTGTCGAACTATTTACGCAACTGTAGACATTTTTTAAAACTCTTCTAACTGAGAGACAATTTACTTTTACAAATTATAAAAAATTATTACATCTAACTGTCCTATAAACATAATAGTACATGTTTTATGATTTTTCTTTCAATATTCTAAAAACATTTTCAACTCTACTTCATATTCAGTCAAAAATAAAATTTAGAACAAAAAGTATTTTAAACTTATTCTATATTTCATTTCATAATAGAATAAAAATAAGCTTATTCTATGAATAATATAATGCTATTATTTTTTTTTGTTCATTATTTTCTTTCTCACTCCCTACAAGACGGAATAGAATTGGATAAAGCTCATTTCCATTATAGAATTACTCTATTTTAAGAAAAAGTTGCATCTAAATTATCTTGTGAAAATTCAGGTTTCTTGATTTTATTTGTACAGCAAAACTTAAACTTCTTCATATAGAAAAATTTAATAAACTTTTAATTAAATTTATACTATTAAAGCAGAATCCTTCTTAGGATTATGTCCCTGAATTTTCTAATTAATTACAAAAGTTGCCAAAAGATTTTATTCTTTTCTATAGATTTCTAAAATTTAAAACCCAATCAACTAAACAAAACAGCTCAATCAATAGAAACAATTTATCCATCTAAAAACAATTTATTCAAACCCTAACTCTATTCAAACCCTATTAACACCATCAAAAAACTTGTTGTCCATTAAACTATACCAAATTTTCATATGATATAATTTAATTTAATATTATTTTCAATACTGTTAGCTATAATATTATAGTATAGGATTAGCATTTTTCGAAATCATTGACCTTTTAAACAACCATTAATATAAAGATAAACCTAATTTTGTATATTCCACCAATTATCTGAGACAAGTCAAATAAATTTCAAGAATATTCTATATGACATCCATTTTCATAATTACTAAATACAATAAATTCAAAAGAGCATATATAGATTCAATATTTTCCAAAATAAACAAGATTTTCCGAAATATATAGGAACAACATTTTCGAAAATACCTAAATTAACTTGAAAAACACACAGAGAATATTTTCTGCATGATATGGTAACTGAATTTTTCTGAATCTATACTATTTAAACATAATTATTTTTAGAATTATGTCCTTGATTTTTAAGAAGATTACAAAATCATACCACTAACTTCTATTTATTTAAGTTAAAGAAACAAATATTCCATATATCTATGGGAACTAATACTTTCCATATTTTTGTCAAAGGTAATAATTCTGATTTTTATGCCAATTATACTTGCCATTTAATTTGAATATATTTTTTTGTAAATAATAATATTAAAAGATCAAATATAGGTAGATACATGAAGTTTTTTTTAAAATAGTATTTACTATGTATTTGTATGCATAAAATTAAAATGTCAATTTTGAGTGTTCAAAAATAATTTAAAACTTATCATAAAATTTAATTTTAGATCTAAAATAAATAAAAATATAAAAATAACATAGGTTATTAAAAACGAAAGGAAACTAATATTGTCATATTAAAAAATTGTATTTTTACCATTGTTTCGTTTTCTTCAAATAACATAATAAAAATTTCATCAAATTCTAAGGAATTAAAAAAGCAATTTTATATAATATTAAAACAAGAGTTATTTAATCAAAAACTTCAAAAGTATTATTAGATTTTTTGGGTTTATAGTGGATTAACCAATATCAGATCGCAATTTTTAAAAATTTTACCGGTTTGCATTAAATTTTTTAATTAAAAAAGACTTTCATTAAATTCGAAATGGATTATAGACAAGTGTCTAGATATATTGATTCAACCATATATCTGAATCAAATACAAACACACTACTTAAAAATCAAACACTATAATAAATTTTTTTTTTGAAATACTAATTAGGTTTTTTTTTTAATATAAGTTATAGATTTAATCAAATTTTATTAGGATGGAAAATTACCCGCGCTTGTAAAGCGCGGGTCAAATCTAGTTATTAGATTAAAAAGGTTTCTAATCTTAGTTAAGATTATGGCTTAGTATATAATTATATATAAAAGTACATACTACTTTTTTGGAATTATATGAGGATTCGGATATATATTATACTTTTGTTACTTCTTTGTTAAAATGTTGACGATTTTTCTTTTAATTTTATGTCCAAAACAAAATTGGAAGTAAACGGGACAAAAACTGAAAAGTCCTTACGTGCGTGCGTGCACACTTCTTGTCACTCTATGAAAATTTGTCACACCGATTGAACTTATAAACCAATTGGAATTCAAATCCAGTTAACTAACTAAAGTCATACTCATAGAGATTTAGCATCAAAGCTGGAATGCAAGCATCATATGGTACTTCTTCTTCTCAAGTTTTCCCCGTAATGGGAACCATTGAATATGTTGACATATGGAATAATAAAAAGTCTAAGTCTATAAAAACTTAATATGTTCGATTCGCACTGGCCACTGGGGGCTTTACATGCATTATATCCAGCGTTCAAAATCGAAGATCGTGTTCACTTAGCTAGTACCCACCTTCTGGTGTGCGTCCATGCAAAGATCGGTCTCTAGTTTGGACCATCTTAGTAGGATCAGAACACTTGATTATTCAAAAAAAGAAATACAAACTTAACACGTTATCTCTCTGAAGGAAAACCACAGCTAGAACATAAGCTATGTATATATAACTAGGTGTAGCGATTTTGGTTAAGCCAGAAACTACGTATATAGAGAATTTGGTAATAATCATCGTCGCTTGGTTTGTACTTATTGTTCTTTTTATATTTCTTGCGGTCTTGGCTACACTAAAAAGTGTAAATGGTGACGACGGGGAGGTGGAGGAAGAGATGAGGATGGAGTAGGAGAGGATGGCCGCGGAGATATGGAAATGGGGACGGAGAAAAATGGAGGATGGCCGCGGAGATATGGAAATGGGGACGGAGAAAAATGGAGGTGGCTTTGGCGGTGATGGAGGGGATCATGGTGGCAGTGGTGGCAGGGTCGGGTCTGTAAAATTTGGAGTCCCATACCATTTTTTTTTTAATTTACAATTTTTTATAATCAAATAAAGCACTTAAAATAAGTTTATTCTACATATCCTATATAACATTACATTATATTCATTTATAACTCATTTAACATTTTAAATATTATATATATATATATATATATTAAAAAAGTTTTATTTTATTGTGTATTATATTGAAAAATATAATTTTAAGTTAATAAAATTATATTTTTAAAAAGTTTGGGAACTTTTCAATTGTTAGGGTCCCATTCAAATGTTTCAAGATAATTGACTCAGGCCCGGCTCTCGGTGGTGGATGGTGGAGGAGGCGTAGGAGGTTTCTGATCTTGTGGTAGTTTTCAATCATATTTCTAAAAGTTCATGTTTGAGAAAGTACAGAAAATTGTAATGGTGTATATTAGTTTTGTTGATTATTTAATATTTATGTATATTGTTTTGTAGTTCTTACCAAGTTGGTTTGATGTCTTATTTTACGACACCGCAACATAGATGTGACCAGTTCTTGTTATCCTTCTTGATATAGCATGGTAATTGCATACTATTGATGATGTCACTGTTAAAATTATTTGGAAATGAGAATTGCTAGGGTTTGGTTGCTTTATGTTTTGTACGAAAGACAAGTCAAAGGTTGATTAAATTCTTTGTAATTAAACATAATTTATATTTCTAATTAACATATATAAATGAGTTAAGTAACCACTTATATACTATCACATAGATAAAAAAACTTACAAATATATATATATATATAGAGAGAGAAAATGACTAGAATAGATCTAAAAAAGTTTTTATCACAAATATAGATCTTAACAATTAAAATGATCAAAATAGCACTTAAATATTTTTTAAAATATATATTTATACTCTTTGGGTTAACTAATCCTAGATTTTTTTGTTTAGAGTTGAGGAGCGGGTTTTGGGGATAAGGTTTCAAATTTTAAAAAATTAAGAAAACTTAAAGTTTTCAAAATAAAAAGTGATATTTTGGTTATTTTAATTTTTGAGGTCTATTTTTGTGATAAAAACTTAAAAGAGCACTATTTTAGAGAATTGTCCATATATATATATATATATATTTTTTTTTTTTTTTTTTTAAGAAAGCACAAATAAAGATGTTGTTTGGATATCAAAAAAAAAGGAGTCATTCACCTTTCAAAACTACAGTGGGGTAGGAACAACGAGTGAAAGCTGATTCTCAAACAACAGATTAATTTATGGTTTACGTCTATCCACAAAAAAAGTTATACATTCACTGATACACAATACTTATTTACAATAGACGCAAAAGTCTAGGTTATAAATAAGCAAAAAGTGTACCTCAAAATAGAGGTTAATTGACCATACATAACTGATATATCTGGTCAATATGGCCAGTCAAGTAGCCAAAGTCAACTACGTGCTGTATACCACGTTCTCATGACTGAGTTAAAGTTATATTTTAGGACAAGAAGTAAACGAATGTTTATAATTTTGTAACCACAACCAAACAGAACTATTATTTGTTTGATATGGTCTAAGCAAAAGTTTATTCTCAAGTTGCCGAACATAGCTTCTCAGAAAATGGTCTAAGAAATAGTTCTTTTAAAACCATCACGCTTTCTTTCAAATCTAAACCGTTCTCAAGAACAATAACAAGAAAAACTACGAGATGTCTTCGCCGAGGCCAGAACAGCACATAGTCCATCACTTCAGCCATATCCATCCACTAACGAAGGTTGACGGTAATGGCGAGTTCACATGCGGTGGCTGCAAAACTTTTGGCTTTGGGGAGACTTACCGTTGCTCCTGGTGCGACTACAATCTTCACGAACACTGCGCTACGTGCCCTCCTACCCTCCTCAGCTTCATGCATCCACACCACGAGCTCCAACTAGTCTTTACAGGACCAGAGCAAACGCACCATGAAAAACGTATGTGCGATATCTGCCACGAACCAGCAGAGGGGCTCTTTTACCAATGCCATCCTTGCGGCTTCGACGTCCATCCACTCTGCACACGGCTGCCTCAGCACGTGAGACACGTGCCTCACCCTGCCCATCTCTTGGAATTGAGTCACTGGGGTGCTAGCAGCACGTGCATGGTTTGCAGCGGCGCAATCCGCTCTTGGCGGTACAAGTGTGGACCATGTGGGTTAGATGTTCACATGGAATGTGTTAATTCGTCGGTGTCAGAACCAACAATTCAGCACAGGGGTTATGGGTCACAACCGCAGTATTATCACCCTTCTCAGTATCATAACCAGCCTTATTACAATCACGGATATACAAATCATCAAGGTCACGTTCAAGAGTCTAGACCGAGTATAGGAAGAAGAATGTTTAGCGTTTTAATGGCTTTAACCCTTGGGGTTTCCTGCAATATCATCGCTGCGCCGGCCTCTGAGCACCTTAATGGCTGCTTCTGAAATGGCACGTCTCTAACGTGCTGCCATCATATATGCTTATTTATATGTTCTTTGTGTTTGCTTTCTTTTTAATATTAAAAAAAAAAATGTAAAAAAGCATATTCAAAAAGTACGTATTTTCACCTTCACTTATACGCAACATGCTTCAATAAATTTTGCATTAGTTGATCGGTACCCAATATAACTGAAACATAATCTGCCACACTTCAAAACCGTTAATAGTTTTAACAAAAAACTAGGTGTTTTACCCACATTTGCGGGCTTAATAATTTTACTAATATCTATAAACAAATATATAATCAATTTAAGTAAATTATAATAAATTATGTGCATACACTCAAAACATTTAATAATAATCTAAACAGATTATTTCTATATATAAAATTTTTCATCATCATATAAATAATTATCATTGCACAAACTAAATGTGAAATTCTCATAAATTTAAAATATTTAGTAAGAAATTAATATGTTTTCTAGACATAACAAAAAGAAGTATAATAAAATTAACTTTAGTAATGTTTTGGATAACACAATATAAATTATCTATACATATATTCTTTGCAAATTGATTTTTTCATAATTAAATATATATTAAAAATATAATTATTTTTAAAGGTTAATTATAACATAATATAAAAAAGTTAGATAAGGATAATTAGCAAATTCATGAAATTCGTTTTTAATTTAGAATTAATTATATATTAACAAATATAATAATTTTTCAAGGTTGATAAACATAATATAATTTTTTAAATAAGGATAATTATCAAATAAATGAAATTCGTTTTTAATTTATAATTAATTATATATTAACAAATATAATTATTTTTTAAGGTTAATAAAGACTTTATAACCCAATATAAAATAGTTTTAGATAAAGATAAAGCTAAAATCAATTGAAATCGTTTTTATTTATGTTTTATTATATATTGAAATTTTTAGTTATTCATTAAGGGTATAAACGATATAAACCAGTCTAACTTTTAACGTGAGAGCTCCGTTGCGAAAAATCACTTCACAAATAATAGTATATAATTAATTCTAAATTAAAAACGAATAATTATCAAATAAATGGAATTCATTTTTAATTTATAATTAATTATATATTAATAAAAATAATTATTTTTTAAGGTTAATAAAGACTTTATAACCCAATATAAAATAGTTTTAGATAAAGATAAATCTAAATCAATTGAAATTCGTTTTTTATTTATGTTTAATTATATATTGAAAATTTTAATTATTCATTAAGGGTATAAACGATATTAACCAGTCTAACTTTCAACGTGAGAGCTCCGTTGCGAAAAATCACTTCACAAATAATAGTATAGATAGGACATTCTTTCAAATAGGTCTATTTTAAAAAAAATATCATTAAAAATAATTCCAAAGAAAAAAATTATCAAAAAGATCCATTAAAGAAGTTAAACACCAATCCATTGCTTTAAACGTATATAAATATTAAAAGGTATTTAAATAAATAATTAAAAAACTATAGTATTAAAATTATATGTTTTCAAATTTGAACTTTTTGAGTTTCAACATTTCACTATAGCGGAGAGACCGGTCCATTTTCTTTTGTAAAAAAATGGAACGTAATCCTTGATAAAAGGAATGGAAATGTGACTTATGAGAAAGATGCCAAATTGACCAATAAAATCATATGCAACGGGTGATCCTTAACGAATCCTTAGGGAGAAATATTAATTTTATAATTACTGGATCTCATGAACAGTTAATGATTCTATTATTAAAATCATTATTTAAGGATTGATTCTTACACTATTTGCGGGTTCCACTGCACACGTGACGGTATGTAAATGGTCACTTTTTACTATTCGTGGGCTCTACTGCACACGTGGCAGTATGTGAATGGTCACCTTTAAAAAAAAAAAAAAATCCGAAATATCCTTATATAATCCAAAATGCTTTTTTTTCCTAAGGATTCCCCCAAGGATTCGGTAAGAATTGCTGTTGCATATGCTCTAAGACCAGGTCCATCGGGGCTTCTTAAGCCCAGGTACTAAAAAAAAAGCAAAAAAATAAATGAAAAAAGAAAAGAAAGGAGAAGAGCGCTACTTAAATGGGGATTTTGGGGTTTGGTAAGTACCCCTACGTGGCGCGTTACGATTCGACCACACCTAAATTTGTCTCTCTCCTTCGTCGGCCTTTCTCCAGAATTCATTTTGTTTCTCTTCTTCCTCTGCGCGTCAAGTCTCCATCTTCTCCATCGTTTCTCCATCTCTTTCTCTCCAATTTCTCCATCGAAAATGTGTTGATGTCCGATTCTCTCGGGTTTCCTTTAGATTCCACCGTTTATGGATCTGGCCGGAGCTGGACCGTGCCGGGAACCGCCGGGGCTCGAATCACTTCATCTCGGCGGCGGCGACGGTGGCTTCACGGCGTTGCTTGAGCTTCCACCTAAACAAGCAGTGGAGCTTCTTCACTTCACTGACCCTTCTCCTCAAGCTCCGGCGACGGCTGTTGCCGGAATCGGTTTAGATGTCTCTCCACCGCCGCCGCAGCAATTATTGGTGAGATTGGTGGATATGATGTTGTTATGCTAACATCACCTCTTCTAATTTTTATTTGTGAGCTGTAATGACTTGATTGATTAATTGTTCCATGAACCACTAGAGTACTAGTTTGATTGTGATTGGAGATGCCATTTAGATTAAAGAGTGTTTCTTTCACTGTGGTGTACTCTCTTTGAAATATTGAATAACCTCATAGAAAGGAAAAACTAATGTGTACACCTAAGCTGATCATAAAGTCTTTGAACTTGCAGATTCAAGGTACTGCGTTGGTGCTAGATGAAATAATTAACCATGTCCAATCTTTACAACGTCAAGTGGAGGTGAGAACTTTCCGTGTTCCAGTTTTGTTCTTTATACCTATATATTATTGTACTATCGCCTTAAAAGGACACAACCAAAAAAGGTCAAGTCAAAACAGTTTGGAAGTGAATAGAACTGTGTGCCATAGTGTCTCATCATAGTTTTTTACTTGTTTTTTTTTCCACAGATGCTATCAATGAGACTTGCTGCAGTAAACCCAAGAATCGACTTTAATCTCGACACCATATTGGCTTCAGAAGTAAGTAACTTCTAATCTAATCACAATAGTTGATACTTTTGTTTACTCACTGCATGTGTTTCTCATTTGAGTAAATCATAGGAAACTATATACCTCTTTTGTGTAGCTTCTAGTTTATATCATAAAGAGAAAACTTTTGAGTATAGTCTTATAAATATAGTCTTATAAATATAGTCTCATTTGAGTAGATCAACGTATAGTTTTATAAATACACAACACACACACCTTGTGAAATTACAGTACACACAAACAGCTTTAGTGGGTCAAAAACTCGGACACTGTGACATGTCAGATGTGTTTGTATATTGATGAGCTTTGATGATTTGAAAGAAGAAAAAAATTAATTGATTCCTCAATAATAATATATGGGTCTCTTACAACATCTTGTTTCTTTTCATCTATCTAATCTCATAATCAAACACCTGTGGATTCTATCTACAATAGAAGACTTTAATCTTACTCTTTTGGACCAAGGTTAATGAAACTTGTCTATGTAGATCATGAAGTCTTAAAACTTGCCATTAAAACCTCAACAACCTTGAACTTCTCCAACTTGAAACTTTAAACGGGAATAAAACTTATCATTAAAACTTCAACAACTTTAAACCTCTCCAACTTAAAACTTTAAACGACATTAAAAGTTGTCATTAAAACTTCAACAACCAAAACCTTTAACCACTATAAACCATGACTCGAAATCAAATTACTTCTCCAAACTTCAACAACAAATTTTAAAAACTAGCTTTCTCTCCTCAGATTCTCTTATGGATCCTTACAGTCAACAATGTATTTTTCAAAACCTCTTGAACAGTCAACAACCAAGCACTCAATGGAATGACTCTGTCTCTGCGTCGGATGCCTCTGTATTCTGTTCACAGTGGAGTGAAGATGGCAACAAAGACACAGAGGCTGTGTCTGACCGTAAAGAGAAGCGTAATAAGTGGTCACCAACAGAAGATATTGTGTTGATAAGTGCTTGGTTGAACACTTCCAAGGATCAAGTGGTTGGGAATCAGCAGAAAGCGGCATCGTTTTGGAAACGAACTGCTGCTTACTATGCTGCGAGTCCCAAGGTAGCTAGTTTCCAAAAGAGTGAGTTCTCAAACTGTAAAGCAAGGTGGGGAAAGATCAATGAAGGCATGTGTAAGTTTGTTGGCTGTTACGAGGCTGCAATTAAACAGAATGGGAGTGGACACAGCGAGGATGACGTCTTGAAGACAGCTCTCAAGATTTATGATAATGATTACAAGAAGAGGTTCACAATGGAGCATGCATGGTTGGAGCTTCGCCATGACCAGAAATGGAGTGGAGCTTCTGCTACTAAGAATAAAGTTCAGTCCAAAAGAAGGAAGGTTGATGGCCAGATGGCACAGTCATCATCCTCTGTGCAAGAAAGCCATGGAGAGGAAGACATGTCTCGGCCAGTTGGGGTTAAGGCAGCAAAGGCAAAAGGGAAAAAAACAGTGAGGAAGCAAGCGACTTTGGAAGAGGAAGAGAAAGACAAGAAGGAGCTTCTTCACATATGGGAGATTAAGCAAACAGATTTTGCTTTCAACAAAACTCTTAACAAGCAAAAATTGGTTGAGAGGCTCATTGCCAAGACTGAACCATTAACTGAACTCGAAATGGCCTTAAAAAACAAGCTTATTAAAGATATGTTAGCTGAGTCTTAATTTTGATTTCTGTATGCTGTTTGTGTCTTAAGTTTGAATTATGTATGTTGTTTTAATGAAGTCTGTATGTTTGTGTGTTTTCAGCAATTTGTGTCGAGTCTGTTTGTGTGTTTGTGTGTTTTCAGCAATTTGTGTCGAGTCTGTTTTAATGGAGTCTGTATCCATATGCTTAATGTTTGGTTAATGGAGTATAACTATGTTTGGGTTTATGCTTTTTCTGCTTTATAAATGTTTGAGTATAACTATGTTTGGGTTTATCAATTACTTTAATCTTTTCAGACCTGATAGTTGTATTCTTGGAATTTTTAATGGAAATTATTTGCAACAGGTGCTCTACTTATTATCATGTCAT